GCAGGCTTCCCACTGAGCAGGGAGCCCGATGTGGGGCTCGATCCCAGGACCCTGGGATCATGACCTGAGCCGAAGGCAGACACTTAATGACCGAGTCACCCAGGTGCCCTTACTTTCATAGATTTAATAAAGCTTTTTATACCTTTTATCCTTGTCCTGTTTTCCCTAAGAAGTATCCCTGACCAGGTTGCAGTGAGCTTAAATTCTTTGTTTCCAAGATCAGTGTGCCCTGGGGAAGCAGTATGGAGAGATGTGGAGTGTCTGACTTGACCATTGGATGTGAGCCAGCTCATTCCTTATCTTTCGGGAGATCTGGCCTTTAAATAGGTGCCCCCAACCCACATGTGTTCTATGGACCTCCAGCTCTGTGAAACAGAGTGATCCTTGAGTAGAGTGTTCCGTGGTCAGATTAGCTCAGAAACTGGTATGTTCTCGCTTTCTCTTCTTAGAAGGGACATAATGCACTCGAGAGGCTCTGTGAAATCTTGTGGTTAAAAGAAAAGCAAGGGGACCCTGTTTAACTTCTCCTGAGGAGGCATTTCCATTTGACCATGCCACCTTTTTAGTTGAATACCCATTAACTTTCCCACAATTTGTGCGCTGGAAAATGCTGCTTTAAATCATTTACTTGTAGGTAATTCTTGATTTAAATGACATCCAGAGAACAGAATGTGATGGATGTTGCTTCAGATACTCCATCAGTATAGCTAGTTTCTTGTTAAAGGAAACTTCGTGTGTTCTGTTTCTGAGGGTGGTTTCTGTTAGACTGTTTGCTCAGCTTTAATATACAGAAGAGAGTGTAGTATAAAGCAAGGAAGTCTGTACGGGACAGAAATGGGTATAGCTCTCATTAGCATGACTGAACTCATAGATCATGAGGTGCATTATGGAGCCAAAGAAGTTGATATTTTGGGGTTATGGAGAGAGGTGTTGCGAAATTACTTGTTCTTGCCCTTGAAGGGTAAGTATCTCAGGGATGTTAGTCTGCTAACTAATGGTATGCAAAATCTCTCTCTCCTCCCTTCTCTCTCTTTCTCCCTTTCTCCTGTGGATTTAAATAACCCAAACATGAAAATTCAAAATTTCCTTTTCTGGCATTTGCACCATACTCTTTCAGATAATACCACACCATTATAATTCAAGTGGAAGAAAAAAAAATTCACAAAAGTCAGTTATCAAAGGAGGGAAAATTTGTAGGTTTGCTCCCTGATG